GGGGCCGGGGCGGCCATGGTGAGTGCGGCCGCGGGGCCCGGGCCCGCGGGTCTCGCCGTAGGAGCCGGGGACCGCTTGCGTCTGGGCCGGCAGCTCCCAAGCCCTTCCCCGGTCCGAGGAGCTCGGCTCGTCCTTGGCCCGGGCGCGGTGCCGAGGGGCCCGGCGCCCTGGGCGGCGCGGGGAGAGCGCTGCCCCGCACAGGCCGCGGCGGGGCCGTTGGCTCCTGCCTCGGCCCCGGTGCTCGGCGGGGTTCAAGCGCCGCCGGGCTGGGTTTCCCTCGTCCCCCGCAGCTGGGGGGGTCGCGCCTCTCCTGGGCGAGCCGCAGCCCCAGCCCCGCCGCCGTCGCTGTGCCCCTGCGGTCACTCGGAGCGGCGTGGCCGAAGGAGTGGCGTTATGACCGCTTTTCCCCTGGTCACGCCGTTTTCAACGTATAGACGTGCCCGACCCGCTGTGGAGATTGCCGGGGGGGCTTTTTTTCTTTTCCTTTGGTAAACGAATACTTCTATGTCTTCCCTGTGCAGGCCAGTACAATGGTGGCGGTTGGCCTGACCATAGCGGCAGCTGGATTTGCAGGTTTGTAGGCGACGGGAGGATGCTGAACGCCCAGTCGTACTTACAGTTGCCGGCGTCAGTACTGATGAATTTTAAGGTAGTTTAATAGCTGATACAGGACGCTCTTTTGGGAGAGCCTGTGTTGACAAGCATGGCTGTAACTAAACAAAAGATCAAAGCTTTTACTTTTTTATGTCCCCCAAAAGTTTATGCCACGCTCTAATCCGTAAGTTACCAGTTGCGCTGGATTGCTAAATCCTTACAAAACTTTATACTTAGCCTCGTTCAACACTGATTTCTTTAAGGTCGCTATGCACTAAAAGCTATGAAGCAAATGGAGCCACAAGTAAAACAAGCACTTCAGAATCTACCAAAACCTGTAAGTTTTTATCAGTAGCATCTTTTTATTTAAAAGTTTACTTGGTGAAATAACTACAGACTATTGTCTCTGTATAGCATTGCTGTATTTTCTTCTAATACTAAGCATAATTTTGTCAGTGATAACAGAATTAATCTCAGATTCTGGTGGTGGTTGACTAATAGAGAAGTTGTTTTGGCAATTTTAAGTACTCATTTAAATAATGATACTCTACTTCAACTGAATTTCTTATTACAAGCGCAAAAGCAGCTTTGCAGTATTCTTACAGACAAAAAGCTCAGCAGCTACTAAAGAAATAATGAGTTGTTTTAACTGATAAACTTAAAAATTAGTAGGTTTTAAACTAACATATTTTCTCTTTCAGGCCTTCAGTGGTTATTACAGAGGTGGATTTGAACCCAAAATGACTAAACGAGAAGCAGCTTTAATACTAGGAGTGAGGTAAAAGGAAATTTATTAGAAATAAAAGATAAAGAGGTGGCTATGGTGTTACCTAGTTGCTGGCCTGGTTTGAGGAGGACATAATTCTCAGCGCTTGAGACTGTCCTATGCCCAGCTTCTCCTGGGAATGTCACTGCCAAGTCAGGAAATACCAAGCAGCCTTTCAGGATTTTCTGTACTTAATTGGGATTCTTTGCTGCATGTTAGCTTGCTTAAAACTAACTCTATCTGGACTTCCGTACATCTGCAAATCCCTAGCACATTCAAAAGCTGCATACAGGTCCAGGTAAATACACCATATTCAGGAAGCCTTGGGGTTTACTCGGTGTGGGGAACACGGTTGTGCTGTCTGCTTGTGGTTCCTGTCACTGCTGGTGAATTTCAGATAGATGCAGCGTGAAGGTGCTGCAAACCCACTTCTTGCATGTGGAGTAAATTCATCCCTTATTCTAGAATATCTTAGATATGAGTAAGGTAGCTATCCCTGCCAAAACTTCAAGAGACTTAAGACCAAATACACAAGATTCAGAGTAAGAACCATTTCTGTTTGAAGGCAACTTCCATCTGTGAAGTTTGTATATAAACAATTTGCTGTTTTTTTAAGTAAAATTTGCTCTTGATTTATTTTTTTCCTCCAGCCTTTAGGAAGTTGTCCCAGTAAAAATGTCACAACATAGTTCTGTTTCTTTTCAACTGTGCAAATGACCCCCACCATCTCAGACTGCTGTAGCATGTCTTCTTCAGCATACAGTGTTTTGGAGAAGCCTTAGAAACCTTTGCCAGGGCTTACATGCTACACATCAATAATAGGAAAGGAGAAACACACATGTAAGCCGAAGAGTTTATGGATAAGACAGAGTGATTGCTTGTCCTAAGACATCTTTTAAAGATCTGGGGGATTTTATGAGGTTGCCTTAAGTCAGTTTTTCTCTCTCTTTTAAAGCCCTACAGCCAACAGAAGTAAAATTAGAGAAGCTCATAGACGGATCATGCTTCTGAATCATCCAGATAAAGGTAAGTAAATTAAGTCACATTGATAAATTAATACATGTTTTTAACACAGATTAATAGAACTGTGTAGGGAAGAAGTGACTGACATATGACTACCTCAGCTACTAAAAAAACCCCAGAAAACTCTGAGTGAAAACAAATTTTAGGGTGCCTTAATCATTACGGTTTTGGAGCATATTTTTGTGTTTGAATGCTCTAAAGCAAGCAGACAGATTCAGCAGGTCACTTGTTCTATCTTCTGTGCATATCAGACTAAGATATGATTTGTTAAAATGAGACTTAAAATTGCCTTAATTTTAGATGAAAGCCCAGAGTGTATTTGTGTGCTTTGTGTACCATGTGAGTCTGAGTTTGTTTGAATGTACTGGGAATTCACCATAAATGGGAAGTATTGAGCCTTCAGTGTCTGTTGAAGACACTAAACTATGAAATATTTCTGTTTGTGGCACTCTGAAGGCTCAGAAGTTAATTAACTTGAAGCATCTATACCTGTTCTAAATTCTGTTTATTTCAGTAAATCAGAATCAGGTGTTAGTGCTTGGCATTTAACTTTTTAAGCCTCACTTAAAAGGTAAAATGGCTTCCTTTAAAGTGACTGCTCAACTTCATTACTTTTATGCATCAAAATCTACAATAATCCTTGGGATGTGCCTTTCATAGATAATATCTAGTGGAAGTTAACTTGAAAATTAACTTTACTGAATATATGCAGTACCTAAAAATAGCTATCCAAAGACTGCTGGGAGCATTTCACATGTTTTACGTGACCTAAGTAAGTTAAATTAAGCTTCAAGTAAATAAGAGTAATTCTAGTACTAGTAAATGGTGCACATTACAAATACATGCTACAGACCTTTGCACCTCATGGTCAGTTAGTTACAATTTCATTGCACTTGCATTGTGGATTCTCTTTCGGTATCTTCCCAAGTCATTTGTCCTGTTTAAAAACTGAACTAGTCCAGCAGCAGTTCGTATGCTGGCCTTGAACTAGGGGGGAAAGGTTTTATATGCAGACTTGTTCGTTTAATGCTTCTGAACTCTCAACAAACTGTATGCTAAGTCATTAGTGACCACTTCATTTATGACTGATAAAACTGGAGAAAAACCCCACTCCAATAAACTAAAAGCAACCTAACAGGAATGAGCTGTCTGCACACTTAGCTACTGCAGTGACTGTGTGTGTAAACTTGATGTGGCTTGAGTTATAACGCAGTTTGTTCTTTAACTTGAATAACTTTCAGACCATACTCTTCACTTTTTTTTCCTGTGTACTGTGGCATTATTAATACCACAGAGGGAAAATATTTTTTTCATCTGATGTGACATGAGGTTATCTTTCTTCTAGGTGGTTCCCCATATGTAGCAGCCAAAATCAATGAAGCTAAAGATTTACTGGAGGACCAAGCTAAAAAATGAATGAGAGAAAATCAGAGGGTTTGTCCATGCAAATGATTATTTTTGATAAATGGCTGAAGAAAAGTTTTAATGTCAGTCTTTGACTTAATATAAATGAAGCTGCAAATATGAATTCAGGGAGGTACTTCCCTCCCCACTCACTTCTTAGTCACTTTTGGGGGAAATGTGCGAGTGGGAGGCTTAAAAGTTTTTTGCATAGCTGTTTGTTATTAAGCAGCAAAATCTGCCACTCAGAAATATTTTCAGTGTAAAAGAATAACAACTGGGTTGGGCCAATGCATGTTACCAGATACAGGTAGACTTACATGCTGTTACATAATTTTTGTTAAACTAGCTATGTTTGAAGTTCACGCTGCTGTTCTTTCATATGCCAAAGCCAGCATCATGAATTGGTTTGGGGAGGGGGTGGAAAAAAAAGAAGAGGATTTATTTGATGGGAAGAATTGAGACAGATGTGTGATGGTCTCTGACTGAAGAAATAAAGTACAGGAAACAATGTACACAGTTGTGTTTGCCTTGTGAAAAACAAGGTTGGCTGGGTGGGCTTCTTAAGTGTTACTTACTGATGGGTCTGGAATGTCCCAGCTATTTTTAGTAACTTCCAGTTTTTAATGGATTTTATAGCATTTAATAAATTCTAGACTTGTAAAGTAAGTACTGTAGTTTTATACATTATCTTGCATTACAAAGAGTTCACATAAGGTTTGTGTTTATAGTAATTAGGAAACAGGAACTCTTTACAAGACCATCCATGACACCTGAGCTGGATTTATCATGCTGCATGAAGTGTTAATGTTAACCCAGCCCAGCAGCTGTCTTCGCAAGTGTCTGAATTAGGGCCAATGAGTTCTGTCATACTCCAAGGATCTTGCCAGTCTTTCTGCAACTACAGTAAAACTGCTGTACAGCATGTTTAAGAGTTAACACCCATCTGTTCATGAATACAACGGATTTCAGAGCTTTCATTTTTCTAGAAGTAACAAGCCTCTACTTCAGAGTACTCCTGTAAGTAGTCTTGTGTCCTCTGTGTAAACGTTGGCTGCCATGTTGCTGCATTTCTGTAGACTAGTTACAGGCTGTTTAGTAAGGATTATCTGAAAAACAGTAAGGAAGCGTTTGATGCCTTCAGAAGAGAGGATCAACTCAGTAACGTGAGGATGAAATGGAAAACATTTAGAACCTATAGAGAGAGGGGGATAACTTTGCTTAATACAGAAATTAAAGGGTGGTGAAAAAAACAGCTAGAACATTGCCATGCAGCAGTTCCAGAGTACGTGTTATTTCAAACCGTATGCAGAATGCTACTGTACTTAGTCTTTCCCTGCTGAATAATACTTTTTTAAACATAGTTGTGGGGTTTTTTTCCCTTCCTCATTTTTTACATTTTCTCCACTCTTGTGGCTGCCTTATCAGTTGAGATGCTTGTGCACACTTCAGAGTTACAACAATTTAACTGTTTGCTCTCCAGGAGGGAACACTGTTGATGAGTGTCAACACTTAAGTCATATTAAAAATTATGCATCTCCTTAAATGAAATACATACCCAAACCAAGTTGGTACAACTCTTCTGTAGCTGTATCAGGTAAAGCAGCTGGAGTCACAGGTAGTGCAGAATACTTGGTTTTGTCCTTATTCACTTCTGATGAAATCAGGTAAGACAGAATCTTTTTTCTTTCAAGTCAGCACAACTTCACTACTACCAGTTTGCTCTGACTTCTTACAACATCTCTTGCTACCTGGATGTTTTTCCATACCTCTTTTCTGCTTCATTGCTCATGTGCCTGAAAAGATGGGTTAGTGTGTCACACTTCTAACTTTATCACTTAAAAACTACATCTGCATTAATTCCTATATATGTTAGTCAGGTTATGTGATTCTCCAAGCTAAGAAGTCTGGTTTTAGACTTGTTAACTGATGTTTTACATCATCTCCTTAAAGAATGGAAGATTAGCATGTTAGAAAACTCTTATGAAAGAGTTAGAGGTTCAAGCTGCCTCACAAGTAAGTTTCAAACGTTAGTGTTAACAGCTTGAAAACAAAGTCAATAGTAATTTAAATTTCTGATAGAAACAGTCAACAGATGGAAGATCAAAGTTTATTTTCTTTTACTACCAGCATACAAAAAAAACATATTGCACATCAAACAACCAAAACAAAAATAAAAATACTCTACTAAGGACTAACATATGTAGTTTATACAGAATAAACTTTCTGGAAATTGATCTTTTCAGTAGTTCAGGTTATGTCTTAATGGACATGACTAATTCAGCTTAGTGTTAACTAAAGCTATGTTTGATTTTTAAATACTGTACAGTTTAATAAATAAACCAAACAAAGCCTCAATGTAGAACAGTCACTGCCAATGTCACCCAGTATCCCTGCAGATTATGAGAATTTAACAAATGTATTCCAGTGGTCTGCAGATTTTTCCTCTACATACAGCATTTAAAAAACATGTATTAAAACAGACCAGTTTCCAGACTAAACTAATGGAGAAATTACATTTCAGTGCAAAATATTTTAGACTGCATTTCTTTCTAGTATTCCTCAGGTGAAGAAGTGGTTGCATATTATTAAAAATGTAACAAAAGCAGCTAATGCTTTCATAAAGAGTATTATGTTAGGGATCCCCCTCACATCTTTGCCATATTTTGAAAACAAAATAACATTTCCTATAGCCAGCAATTTTGTTTATTTAAATGTTACATATACTATCTCAAGGCACATCTGATGATATATTTATAACACAGTAGGTGTCAAAGTATGTTTAACATATGATTTCTTCAGGATCCCTCCCCTTTCTGTATTCCAAAATGGAGGAACTGAAAGTGCGGTGTCAAGACTGGCGATCCATATTCTATCTTTGGCAAGCTTATACAAGCACTATTTTAAATGTAATGTAAAAGAACTGTAAACTAGGAACTTCAGTTTATGAAACACCATTCAGCACTGCTTCTTCCTGATTATTTCCATCCTCTTGAACAGTAACTTTCTTTTCATCAGGGCTGTGCTGTAGTTTAGAAGGCTCATCCCCAGAAGTTGTAGCCGGACCATTCACTGCCTTTTCAGAAGGGCTGTTTTCATCAATTGCGTCTTTTGCCTTGCAAAAACAAAACCAGGGAAATATTAAAAATTCTGTAAAAATACAGAGTGTAATCTAAATTTCCCTCTGGCTCACACAGCAGCTTTGCAATAGGAAACACCTTGTCTGTCTGTGCCAGTATCCCATCATTTACAGCATCCTATTACTCACCTTGTCATTTTTACACCACTTCTGTATCAAGACATTGTGGAGGAAATTGTGCATACCCTGAGACAGCACACCCCCAGCACACCCAGAATGTTTTATTTCACAATCTCAACTTCATTGGCCTAGACAAATTAACTGAAAAGTTGAGTTCTACACCCCTTTCAAAGTCCATGGTAAGAATAGATTTTGTTAATCATGTAGCAATGGATCTTTCTTTTTTTGCTAAACTTGGATGTAACTTCCAGCAGTAAGTTCAACGTTACTTTAGAAGTAAAGGAATTCTGCTTTAGTCAGTTCTGAATTATTATTTTTTATGCTATGTAATGCCACTCTGATCCTTTAAGGAGAACAGATCTCAAATCTATGATCTTTGTAACAGTACTTCTTTCTAAAAGAGTTTGTACAAGTCACTAAACATGGTACCTAGTATCCTCTATTTATAAAGTGTTTTGAGGATTAGTTCTCAAGACTCATCCGTGGATAGTTTTCACGTTTAGTTACATAATGCTGCATTAGTAAGTGTAATATTTTAAAATGTGTAAAGACTTAATTTGAGCATTAGACTGGTCACTGAAGTCTGCAATGATAGTCTACATACAAGTCAGTGTCAGTTCTCTTTACTCAGGGCTATCTTTGCTTTTAATGATTTATTCTTGAACTCAAATGCATTTGTAGTCAAATGAGGGCAATCTAAACGAAGCATTCCTTTACTGTTTTGCTGCAAGGGAAGAAAAAAAAAAAAGGAAACATACATTAGAGAATAAATTATCATCTTACCGTTTCTTTCTTGGTTTTGGCTAGTGTCTCCTTTGGAGGGTTTCTCTGTCTACTTTGAGATTCAGCTCGTGATATATAATCAGCTACTGTTACTGTTCAAGGAAAAAAATTACAGTGATGCTCACATCAGAAGTCTAATTTAGCATTAAGCTTCATATGTCTTTTCTGTACAAGTTACACTGTAACTGGGAGACATCTCACAAAAGGCCTTCACACTTACAGGTATCAGCTACATAGCAAGGATCAATTTGTGTCTGTTGTTAAATACAATTTTCAGTTAAATCAGTGGTAACATGACAATCTGAAGGTGGAATTTTAAAGTTAATAAAATACTAATTTTGGTCCAATTGTAAATTTTATTGGAAAATAAGGGCTTTCAGTACTGGGTTTGAAGAGATCAGCCTGTAGGCTCTTTAAATACAGACTGTGTCATTGGGTTTTTACTACCTGGAGTAGTAAAGAATTTCACACTGATAAAATGAAGGTATGTTAAAATATGAGAAGAATTGGGGGAGGTTCAGAATGTGGTATCACTTACGATAAAGTGGCATTCAAATCTTTGTTACTTTGTGAAGCTATTGGCAAGAGAACTCACCCTCCTCCTGGTATTCAAAATGCAATCCACTCCATTAACTCTGGCTTGTGGGTGGGTGGATTAATTGTGGTGTGTGTACAGACACGCAGAGGGGCTCTGTATGAGCGAGCCATGTTTGCACTGTTAGGGCTACACTTACTGGATGCCGGCCAGGGGGTTTCTGACCTCTTTACCACTTCAGTGCATGTTCTCGTAGCCTGGTTTTGTCTTATCCCGCCCTCTTGTAACCACACCACTTGAGAGTCAATTCTATCTTTAGAGTACGTAGTACTACAGATTTAAATATACACTTGTATATCTGATGAGCTAAAGCACATTAGAATTGGCAAGCATTATCTATTGAACAGTGCAGTCAATTATATTTAGTGCATCATGCATTCAGGTGAACTATTTTTCTGGATTTGGGTATGACTGTGCATGAAACCTAAATCAGAAGATGAAGTACAGCACATGAATTTTCTGCTGCAGTAATTGGACTTCTTACCACTGGGTCCCTGCATAATTGTCAAGACCAAGTGAGTTTCTGCACAAGGAGAATTATTTCTTTAAAATGAGGTTATGCATCCAACTCCTCTAATGTAAAGATGAAACGTTTTAGGCACACAGGGTAAGACACTGATTCTTAATATTCCTGTATGTAGTAGGAACCCAAAATGTATAGCAATGTAAATCAAATTATACAACTAAATGACTGAAGTATGTTGTTAGCATTTGGGGGGGGGGGGAAGTTGCTTGTCTTAATTTCACTCACTATACACCTACTAAGTGTTTATGAAAAGATTAAATTATTAGGGCATTTTTCACAAGGACAGTATAACTAACTACAACTGCTCTTACTGTTGCATTTAAAAATATTTATTATGCAAACTGAAAATGGTATCTTGAACAAAGACATCAACAGGAAAAACCAGAGAAATCTTGTTTGGGAAATTTTGTTTTGTTCTTAGAATACTTAGATTTAAAAGAGAAAGACTGTAGCTGTTGTCAAGATGACTAAAATCTCTTTATGTTGCTGGCAGAAATTAGTTTCTTAGAAGTAAAAGCTGAAATCCATTTTTACTTTTTCCACCCCTTGATATACTCATATCACTGTTACAAACTAGAATGTTGAGAAGTAATGGGTTACTTTGGGTTTGGTTTTTTTAGGAGGGTGGGCTGTTTATTTTTCCTCCCCCAAGTTTTAGTTAGTATAATGCAACAACTTTTTTCTTCTTAATCAAATGTTGTATGAGCACCACAGATAAAAGGAAGACAAATATGGATGAAATTTTGAACCTGTCAATCTAGAAGACCTTCTGTTACTACCTTACGCCATGTATGTACAAGCACTTTCTAAATAGGGCATATTGAAAATTAGCTAGTTCACCTTTAACATTTCAAGTGTTAGTACACACAAAAGAAATGCAACAAGCCACAACAACAAAAAAATTGGAAACATGCAATTTCATTTAAATTCCTCCTCCTTCCCCCCCTCAATTTGTAGATGACTTACAAACGTTCACAAAAGCCGAGGACTGATAGCAGCAGTTTGATACAGGCACAGGACTGGCAGATCCCATGCGAGCTCCCTCACAGCGCTCTGCCAGGGCGCCCGCATCCTGCCATTCCAACTCTTTGCTTCTCAGCCAGCGCTGA